CTTCTTTTCCTTTTCATTTTTCGTCTTTTCTACTTTCTTCTTCTCCTCCTTTTTGTTCTGCTCTATTCTCCTTCTTCTTCTCCTCCTTCTTCTTCTTCTCTCTCTTCTTCTCTCTCTCTTCTTCTTCTTCTTCTTTCGTTTTTTCATTAAATTCTGATCTCAGCTTCATTAATACTTTGCCCTTATTCTTCTGAGTCACCATTATTATCGTCTTCTTGGTAATGTTGTTCCCTTTTTTTACCTTATACTCCGTTTATAAGTAGTCGGCTTTAGAGGCTACCAGTAGCGCACCTCTATTCACCCTAGTCCGCTTAAAATGAAGACCGAATGGCTGCTAAATTCTCTCCAAAGCATATCAGTTGGCCTTCAATTTGCCTTGAATTGCAATGTCTAACTTGACTGCAATATCGACCTCGCCTGAATTCTTCTCGTCAGCAGCACTCGCGGGACTCGAACCCGACCTGTCGTGAATTGTGCAGCGTGTATGCTCAACTCATCAACCAATAAGATGCCTTGCCACGAGTGTCCTTGGGCCATAGGGCATACATGTCGAGGCTGTCGACAGTGCAAAGTTGTATTCGCCATTAAAATCGATTACTTTTTTTATAAGTGGCCCTTCGAGACTACCTGTAGATTGCCTGTTTTTCTTTTCTTCTTTCATATCTCAGTCATCTTCTGGTGACTTTTATTCACCATCAACGTGCCCTTATTCCCATTCTACAGCATCTTCATCTTAATCTACTTTATAATATTTTTATTATTTTTGCCATTTTCTTCATCTACCTCTTCTCATTCTTTTTTCAACTTACCTTTCATCATCAGCATCATCACATTATTTTTCATCTCCACCTCTAGTTAGTGCCATTTTTTGTTTTCTCCCGATTTCTTATAGCCCGCGTCTTATCCCTCTTCATTACCACATTGTCCTTATTCTTCTTCTGCATCATCTTCATCTCATATACTTTAATACATCATTTTTGTCTTCTTCATCAACCTCATCTTCCTCCATTTTCTTTTCGGCCACACAAATCTGTCCCAACAGCAATTCGCCCAGGGAATGGACTCAGAAAGCAGATTCCCACTTGATGTTAGTGTGCGTATCAGTGCATGTGTGCCTCCGTGTTTGCGTGCGCGCGCGCGCGCGGGTGTGCATTTGTGTATGCTTTTTTGGTGGGGCCTTTGAGGCCCACCGGTCCACTCAAGTTAAAACCGGATCCCGAGTCGCGTTGCCATCGCTACGACATTGTCACGATTACCCTCTGGGCGGGTGGATTGTATTGAGAGCCTTTAGTTGACCCTCAAATTGTTGCCCGCTTGTTCAAAATTCGGTCATAATGTTCAACAATCTCTTTTTGGGGCAAAATCACCAACAAATTACCAATTACTGCATTATTACGGCCGCCCACCTTTTTGCCCAGCCGTCTGGCAGCCTGTCTGTTTGTCTGTGTTTATACCTGCCTGTCTGTCCCTATGTATGTATGTATGTATGTATGCCTGTCTGCCTGCTGACCCAGTCTAGCCTCCACTCGTCCAAGGGCATGGAGGCTGTTCTAGCCAAGTTTTGCCCTT